AGTTGGCAAGGCTTGAACACTCAAAATAGATGTTATTTGACTCTAGGGGGAAGTCAAACAAAATTGAATTCATCTTAGTTGCAAAATATAATCCTGAAACATCTATATAATGACCCGGGGGTGTGCAATAGATTTACCTCCACGTGGTGCACCCTGGGCAACGTATACTCATACGGCAAAAGAGTCTATTAACCGGCAGTTGACTTCTCACTTTAAACTAGTATGACCCGACTGTTTGTCATATTCGACCCCTTTCACAGTACACATCTTACCTTTTTTTCCTACCTTTTTGTCTGTCTGCCTCTTTTACATCTGTGAATCGCTCTTCTGTACCCCACCCCTCGACTTTCTTCTACTTTGATGAACCTTCCTTCTGTGAAGCCTGAAGTCAGCTAAATGGCTAATGATAGCTATCAAAACGCCTGCCATTTGAAATAAATAAATAAATATAATGACCCAAGTTTCACTTACAGTATAAATTCCCATAACAATCTGCTATTGTAAAGTTTTGGGAGCTATGTCTCAAGGGCGCCATAATATTGTCTGTCAATTAGAGTTACTTTGGCAAAGCAGATCGGCTTGCCGACAGGAGTAAGTCAATTCTCAATAAGCCTACCTGATGAAAATTTATTGTGTTTTTCAAACACCATATCCGAGTAGGCTCTTTTTAATCAAAGTACACATTTTGCGTTTTGTCATTAAATTGCAAATGGGACCAGACTATTAAAAGGGCTATATCTTTATTAGAAATCTGACAACTGAGTTTGTTTATTCCTTGAGAAATTTGCAATGTCTCCTGCTTGTCTCAGAATGGGGTCGATTTTTAGTCATTGCATTTTATAAATTTATTTTTCTTAAAGTGTGAAGTTGATTGAAAGACTAAAAAGAAACGGAAGTAATAATTGGCATCTTATTAAAAGGAGCTGTTATTGACTCGTCTTTTTTTAAAAAAAGGATCCATTTTGAGAATGAATTTGTTAACAGTCTCAACTTAAATTTTCGACACAATTCCTTCGAGATTCGCCTCTCATTACGTGGATTTAAATATTTACCGTTAGACTATCTATTTGGTCAGTCGCCTGTATGCATCAATAATTAATTTGCTCGAATAGGAAGGGTTTATTTGTCCAATAAAAATCTGCCATTTTATTAGTGCAAATAATATTATAAATAAGTATTCACAGTATTTGTGGTTGGCAATTTTTGTGTTCAAGTAATTTTTAAAGCTTCTTACTATCTTGGCTTGTTTTGTTTTTGTGTGGTCAAAACAAGTGAAACCTAATTGGTTGCTTTTCTGCTAACGCTGAATGATTAGATTAGAAATATGTTATCTATCCAGTTGAGACAATGAGCCCTATCACACATTAATCAAACCAATGTTTCTGTAATCGACATTGGGAAGTGAGGGCGAATGCCAATGCAAAATATTTATTTTTTTATATCACATGGCAGGCGTTTTGGTAGTTATCATTAGCCCTTTAGTTGACTTCAGGCTTCACAGAGGGGATGGAACATCAAAATCGAAAAAAAGTCGAGAGGGGGGGGGGAGAAGAGTGTTTCAAAGATGTAAAAGAGATAGATATAGAGGTAGAAAAAATGCGAGGTGATTGTAGTTTGAAGTCAGAAGTCAATCGCCAGGTAATAGACTTTTTTGCCGTAAGAGTATACGTTGCCCAGGGTGCACCTACGTGGAGGTTAGTCAATCGCACCCCCCACCCCCAATGTAAAATATAATCTTATTCAATTTACTTTAACTTTTTTGTTCAAAATATTAAAGTTATTGATTGCACCTAGTCTAATTTGAAGCTTCCTTGTTCTGATCTTTAAGTTTGCGCGAATATGTGCTCTACTAGAGGTTAAAGGAAATGGGAACCGCTCGTTTTGTTCAATTAATTAACTCATACTTATTTCAATTTTTCTGAATTTCCCCCTGGATCGAAATCTAAAAAGGAATCTAATTCAATTATTGTCAAGAGAGCCATAATTGAATCTGGTCTAGGGGGCATAAGGTTATAATTAAGGGACCTTGGGCAATTGGCTAGTGCTCTCCTCTCCTCAATCCCTCCTTCGTTTAATAAAATTAGAATGGGGGTGGGGGTGGGGGTGGGAGTGGGGAGGGAGGGTTGATCGTTAAATGTCTCCCCCCGCCCCACATTTTTTGTTTATTTCAGTCGACAGATGTTCCCGTTTATCTTTATGGATTTGATATTGACATAGTATGGTCAGCAATGACCACTCAACAATTCCACTCGCATGAATACTTTCTTGGACTAATTTATGCCTTGGACCAATAGTTATGTCTCTCCTCATCCAACATTATTTACCATTTTTTTATGGTAAAGACCTAATCATTGCAATAGCTCCACATTTATTGAACAAATACATGACTAAATCAGTTGACTTTATAGCTAGTATTATCTTTACATAATAATGGGGGTGGGCGCTAGACTTACCTCTACATGGTACACCCTGGGCAAGGTATACTCATACGGCAAAAAAGTCAATTAATCTGCAGTTGACTTCTGGCTTCAAACTACCAAGACCCCACCGCATTTCATATTCTACTAATTTCACAGTACTCACCTTTTTTCTACCTTTGTGTCTGTCTGTCTCTTTTACGTCTGCGAATCATTATCCTGTCTTCCCTCTCGACTTTTTGCCACTTTGGTGTTCCTCTTCCTTTCTATGAAGCACGAAGTCAACTAAAGGGCTAATGATACCTATCCTAACGCCTGTCATTTGAAATAAATCTTTACATAATAATTAGTTCTTAAATCTCAGCATAATTAAGAAAAGAAGTTACTTAATAATGATAGCTTACTTTTTGATTGGGTTCAAGGTTTGAATTTTGCAAGCAGTCAAATCAATGTCGTAGATTTCAACATCTCCTTTTTATTTTTTTTATTTCCTATTTTTTTGAAACTGACAGAAATTTGTATGAGATCCACAGCAATTTAATCCGTTTTTCTACTTCTTAGAAGCACGGTGTAACAAAGGCACTATTTAACTTTTGGAATTAATGAAACGCTAATTTCGAGCGCTTTTTATCTAAACAATAGCTGACCGAAAATGGAATTTTCATTTTTCTGCTGAAAACTTTTTTATCTCGGTTTTGCCAGCCAAATTTTTGCCTTTCGCAGATTGGCAAGAAAGTTTTAGTTGGGGCATCATAAAATCCAATGTTTACCAAAAAAGAGGTTTATATTTATGCTCTTTCCTCTTGAAATAAATTGCCGGGATGTGATTGCAGTAATCTCATTGGAGATGGGGTGTGGACAAGATAAAAGCGGTTCCATGTCACCTATCATAGCTGAAAGTTGTATCAATCGCTTGCGCGGGGGTCACGTGTTACCCTGCGCGCACTTTTTTGTCAAGTGTGTGAGTATTGCTCAGTGTTGCGTTGCGCGCCTGTGTATATAGAGTCCTGGATAATGCCGCTTTAATGCGAAAACAAGGGGAGTTTAGTGCTGAAACTCATTTGGGATATAAAGGTGTTGTGGAGACAATGATGGTTATATTTTGAGCTAAAGGTGCAATTGCTAACCCCGAAAAAGAATCGTGCTCGTGCTGTTTGCTCACCGGAGATTAATCAATTTTATCACGAGGCTGTGCTAGGAAGACCGTGGAAGTCAACTAAACGTCCACCCCCTCAACTAAACATCAAACGAACATCTTGTCAGAACATGCCGTAACAATTACACTTATGTGGGTGTACAAAGGGCTATTGGTGCAAACTATAGAGCCTACAGGCTATGCAAAACGATAATGGAGAGTTTAAAGTGAACATGGTGAAAATGAGTGGGGCCATCACCACCATATGAATTCACCGAAAAAAAGTTGAAGGATTAAAAATTTCAAATTCCATATCCTTCACTCCGGAAGAATGCATTCTGATGCATTTCCAAGTTCTTGTTCAAGGCCATCAATGATCTCCGAAATCTTCACACTTTGAGGACAGTTCACGTCTTATCCTTCGTATTATTCAAAAAAAAGAGAATTTCCGCATAACAATGTAGTCCATCCATCCACAAAGTAAATAAATATAAAATTGTTATTTTTCATGGCAGTGCTGAAAGTAGGCATCATCAAATGAAACGTTGAAATCGGGCAAGGCTTTTTCCTTCTTAAAAGCATGAATTAGTCGTCTTTGTATTATATTCAAATTCATTTCAGACATTTCCCTTCAACATATGTCGAGATAAGAGTGCATTTTAAATTGAATATTCTTCTCTGGGTCAAAATGTGCAATTCACTAGGGTCTTTTCTCCCGTTTATTTGTATTTTATTCCTTGGTAAAGTTTGTTATTGACTTTTGCACGAATGAAGCATTGAAACGTCTCCATCTTTCTTATCAACTGCAAAATAACTTTTTCAAGGTCACTAGTACTCGACTTGGTTACCGAGGAGTTGTTTAAGAGTTGATCTTATGATCAGCTTGCATTCCGCCATCAATCCTGTTGAGTAGAATTAATCTGTTCAGGTACAATGTTCTCATGACTTCAGGGGAATAGCTGTCTTTTCACCTTAACCCAGATTCTCATATCACGACTTTCAATTGTCAGAAGTTTACTATCAATTTTTCTATTGTCTGTCATCCTCAATTGAAGGCCATTTTGAAATTTAAACTTTTGTATTACTATTGGGCAGCGTTCCTCAGACGCAATTTATGTTGCCATCTAAATGTGGATTGGTTGGAAACCATCAATGTTAAATTGTGAAAACTCATTAGACTACACCACATCTCAAAAGATTTAAAATCAAAAGAATTATAGAAGAAGGTAGAGAATAATGCAGTGGAGACGCCGGCTTTGTAGCCAATGAATTAAAGCAGACAAAAACTCAATGTAAAGATGATTTATGTATCGACAGAATTGACTAGTAGTAGTAGTAGTAGTAGTAGTTAGGGGGATGTATTGGGAAGACTCTTTTGAAGATACCGATTTTACTATTTTGGAAAATCGGATAAGTTTTTAAGTAGGACAGGGTAATGTTCTCAATCGGTATATACTTTTTCTCTGCTTTGAAAATCTTGATTGGCAGTTCCAGCTATACATATAGTTGACCAATGTGTTTCAGAACCAAGTGTGCCAAACGTCCCAAAGCAGTCTTCTGATCAAGAACCGGATGATGATTTCTTTTTCTCCGATGATCCCGCTGTTGAAGCGCTTCTCCAAGAAATCGATTTCTCTCCTCAAACCGATCACGGAACCCCTCATTCCCCTGGAAACTCATCGCCATCACCATCGACCAAGGTCGCCCCACTTAAACGACCATGTCTGTCTTCTGATCAACAGATGCCAGATGTTCCCCAAAAGCAACCGATGTTTAGTTCTGCAAGCACTCTCGGTCAGCGCAATTTTGCTAAAACTGTGCAATTATCGACTACTGCTTCTCAAAAACAAATGGTATCTCAACAGCCGTCTCAATCTACTCCAAGGACACTGCCCATGGGTTCTACCTCATTGGTGCAAAAGAATATTAGAAGTCTAATGCAGCCGCCGTCGACGACGAGTTCACAGGCGGATATTCGACGATATCTTGGCAGTGGGGGTCCACAGCAGCATCCAATCCCGGGTAGATCAACTGCTTCTGGAGAAGGGGCTCAAAATCCCACTCCTGCATTCGCATATTTGCAGGTGCGTATTTTCAAGCTATTTGGCTCGTTTTTCATAGAGTTTAGATTTTGCAGTTAGTGGCAAATAAGTTTCACTTTTTGCCGTTTCGCAATCATTGTTAAACCATATTTGTTAATCTCACGGATTTTTAACAGGATGTACATCATTGGTCATTGAACTCCTTATTCCCGACCTAGTACTAATCCTTTTGACTACTGCTTTGATAGTAGTCCTGGTAGGTAGGGATGTTGGCATTGCCAATATTTTAGTTCATGACTCGATATCCTTGTTCCCAATTTAGGACATCTATCACAGCATGCAACAACGTCGAAACACACGCGGAGGAGAAATCGCTTCAATCCGTGGAATGTTAGTGAGTGTCCAATCACGACTGGAGCATCACGAGGGCACTCACTGGAGTCTTACAGTTCGTCTCTCTGATGGCACAGCGACTGTCGACGCAGATGTTGAGGACGACCTTCTTCGTCGCCTCATTGGTCTGTCTGCTGTGGAGGCTGAAGCTATGAGGAAACTGGGGCGACAGGGGGATGAGGTGGGGTCATTTTACCATGATATAATTAATCGCAAAGCTATCACTAATCTTCACGTGTGAAGCATCTGCTTTCTTGTTGATTTCTTTGTTGTTCGCAACTCTAGTGTATGCAGCACCACTTTCCTGACGAATCGCACACTTTCATTGCCTTAGATATTCTTCATTTAAACAAAATTATCTTCTTGTAGCAGGTATATATTCTACGTTCTATCTAACTTCGCATTACCATTATTAAGGTAGGCTTAATCAATTGCCAATTTGATGCCTGAAATTTAATCTGAAACATGCGCTCCGATTTTCGTCACACCTGTATCGCGTTAAATTCCTAATTTTGTGGTAATTCACTTGATTTTAAACATTAATTTTTTAATCGTTGCATTTCATTTTCTCCTGCTTGCACTTTGTTTGAAACGTTTTCATTGTTGCTTTGTTAGGGTACTTCAGAAATGGACCTTTCTTTTCATGTGGAATAGATAGAAAAGGAAACCTAGTTCACACGAACTCAAATATATATTCCTGACGTTTCCAATACTACTAACATTCTTTTTAACTCATTTCGAAATCATCTAATTTTAGTAGTCGTTCATTTTACTTCGTTTCTCTACTGCTTTTATTTTTAAGCCCCGAGGTGCCTACCGATTCGGCTATCCATTGTGGTCCGTGGTTGCATTCTATCAGAACACTGCCATTTTGCGTAACTTCGTTTTATTACATGCTTGCTGTGATTCCATTTCATTGTTTCGTTATCAAGAAGTCATTACTTGTGGTTTTAAGGCACATACTTATCTCCTTAATGCCCCCCCCCCCCCCCCCCCTCCTCATCTGGGAGAATACACCAACAGAATTACCCTTAGCATTACTCATCATGTCTGTCAAGTAGGAAGGCAATAAATCGAAGGTCATCTGCATATCCGGTGATCGCAGAGACTAATGGCATTGATGTTGATTGGCTTGAGGGCTTTGGAGGGGCTTTGTGATGTCTTCTTCTCTGTCAAAATGTATTTTCTCTGACTCTTATTTTCCTTTTTTTTATTTTTTCCTTTCCTTTTATTAAACCTATTAGTTAGAAAATATAGTATCGCAGTTGAGTTAAGTAGGCTTGAAAAGTGGGTATTTTAAATCTACACAATGTCACTTGCTTGCCTCACATTTTTCCTCCCTTTTTCTTGCATCAACTCGTGAGAAGGAACTGGAGTCCTTTTCATCTTTAACTCACTAACTCCTCCGTATCAGCATGAAGTTCAGGGTATGACGAGATTTGAATGGAAATAAATGTCGCCATTGACACTTTCGAATTCAAGTCAATACTCTTCTCCTGAGCTTCCTCCTAAGTTTTAACAAATTTGCTCTCCAAATCTCGTTTTTTTTTCACTGGTTATTGATTATGGATATCCTTAACGGTTTCTGGCCATCTTTGTGGCCACGTTGCCTTCAAAGCAGATCACCACTTACTTTGCACCGTTTTTAATGCCGCAATTCACAGTCTGTTGAATACCACCTCAAGATAATCTGTGCATTGGATCACAACTTTGGAAACGAATCAGGGTTCTTAGTGAATTCACTTTTTAGTCTTACATCAGCTCAGTGGTTGAGGTATCTTCTTTACCTGTCTTCTACTCGTCTATTCAAAGCTGATAGTCTTGCTTTTGGCCTCTCCATCCACGTTAATATATGAGTACTTTTAACTGTAAGTGAGCATAAACAAGCACTCATTGATATTTTGATGTTTCCCCGCATCAGTTTTCTCAGTCCTTGTGGTAATGACTGGCACCTTTCCGCAGATGAAATCAAGGAAGTCGACGTTGGATGTTGACGTAGCGTTTATGAGTTTTTTTTTGGACTCAATTTGTGTATTTGTAGCAATTTTGGGTTAGAGATCATTCTTTCATCTTCGCGGACTAATACATCAATAATTTTTTTCGCGCGGTCATTTTCACGAAAAGCATATTTTTATTGATGCTAGCAAAATCATCAGGATATCGGAAATTCGAATCAATTTTACTGGGGATGGATCAGCATGTATCGATTCAAGGAAGTGTCACAATGAATGCCAAAAGTTCAGATTTAAATGAATATCGAGACTGAGACAGATTATACTCTCTTTGGATGCATTTTACTAATCTGAATACTGAAATTCCATATATGACTGTCATATATGATGCTTGAATGAGTTTTTAAAGTGGCTTGTGAATTCGTGTTTTGTGGTGTATCCGATGAGAAAAATCGTGCTCATCACTAGAATTTGAGCTGATATGACTACACTTTAGTATGCCAGCTCTTATATTAGTGTGTCTGGGGTGTGTGATAGACTTACCTTCACGTGGTGCACCCTGGGCAACGTATACTCATACGTCAAAAAAGTCTATTTCCTGGCAGTTGACTTCAAACTACCATGACCCCACTGTATATCATATTCGACTACTTTCACAGTACTCATCCCACCTTTTTTCCACCTTATCTACCTTCGTATTTGATACACTCTTCTGTTTCCCCCCCCCCCCTCTTGAATTTTTTTACACTGACGTTCCTTCCCCTCTGTGAAGACTGAAGTCAACTAAAGGGCTAATGATAACAATCAAGACGCCTGCCATTTGATATAATAATATTAGTGTGCCTTTCCTGACCAACCTTATATTTGTTGATGTAGAAGTCTGAGTAGGGAATAGTGCTCATGAAATAGCAATGGAATATGTTGCGATTTGGACTAATATTTTGCCACATTTCGGAATAAGAGTACTCTCGATTTCAGACAACATTAATCCTCTTTGCATTAACCTGCTATCAAGGGTAATGCTATGGATTATGAAACCACCCAATGAGGACTTTCACTATTACAAATTCACACAAGAGTGATAAAGGTTAGGTTCTCACAGAAAAGGCCCCACGAAAATGGGCTGAGAAAGGTGAAGAAACTTTGGAGCATAATGCCACTTATCTTCCCGAGGGGCAAACAGTCTGGTTTTTTTCCGACGAGAAAATCGTTTGCCGCGATGACAAGAAATTTATATCAAGTGGGAGGCGTCTTGATGGTTATCATTAGCCCTTTAGTTGACTTCAGGCTTCACAGAGGGAGAGGAACATCAAATCAAAAAGAGTCGATAGGGGGGGGGGACAGATGAGTGTTTTAAAGATGTAAAAGAGAAAGACACAAAAGTAAATGAAAGGTGAGGTGGGTACTATGAAAGTGGTCGAATATGACGTACAGTGGGGTCATGATAGCTTGAACGCAGAAGTCAACTGCCGGCTAATGGACCTTTTTGCCGCATGAGTATACGTTGCTCAGGGTGCACCGCGTGGAGGCAAGTCTATCGCACACCCCTCAATGACAAGAATTGACCTCGCGAAAAAGAGATAGCTTGGCTTGCGTTGGG